TAATTTTATAAAGAACATAATATATGGAAATTCCAATAGGAAGATGTGTCCTCTTCATTCTGTAAACATGTATTTCTACAATTTTATACTACAGCCAAACGTATTCTACTTTTAATGCTATGAGCTTTGTGTTTTTACTATTTTTTTGTATCCCTAGCCCTTAGCACAGTGTCTAACACATAATATCCACTTAATAAAATGCTTTATTTACTGACTAGTTTAATAAATGTTTGTTGACTAACTGACTGAATATTGTGGTTATTCTAATAGTGGCTAATTGAAGTTTTTTTGATAATGATCATTTGCTTCCATTTCTACAAGTCCCAGAACTACTGTTTCCTACCATTTCTCTATTCTCACTCACCTCTCAACCCCTTGCAATCTGGCTTCCAACTTTATCACTCAACTAAGACTTCTCTCTCCAAAGGTAAAAATGATTTCTTCCTTGCCAAATGCAGTTACCTTTTTCTTCTTAGCTTTTTGGCAGTATTGGACAAGGATGAGCAACCCCTTCTCCAGGATACTCTTTTCTCCCTGAGTTTTCAGGATACTGCTCTCTTGGTTTTCCTAATTATATGGGTACTTCTTAGTCTCTTTTGTAGGATCTTTATCTGTGTCCTACCCCATAACTTGATGTGCCCCAAGGCTCTATCGTAAATCTTCTCTGAATTCCTCCTTAAGCCCTCCTGGAGATCTCAACAACTCAAATCAATTCAGCAGTCATATGTTTGTAGATGACTTCCATATATTTACATCTAGCCTTCATTTCTCTTCTCCATACAATCTCCCATCATGGAATGTTTGTTGGACATTTGCAATTGAGTGACCCATAAACATCTCAAAGACAAGTCCAAAATTCATTATCTTTTCTCAACCAAATCCTTTCCTCTTCTCAGTTTTTGTTGAGAGCACCACCAGCCTTCTAGTAACCTTGGTTCATAACCTTGGAGTCATTCTTAGCTCTTCAATCTAACACTCTCTAATCAGTTGCTAAATCTCATCAATTCTACCTCCACAACATCTCTCATAATCCTTTTTCTCCACTCACATTTCCACCACCCTAATTCAGGCCCTTTTACACCAGGATTACAAGTAATAATAACAGGCAGTTAGATAGCTCTTTAACATTTGTTTAAAAAAACAAAAAGCCCAGTATTTTATTTCATTTGATCCTCACAACAGACCTGTGAGATAGGTACTATCAGATTTATCTTCATTTTACAGACTAGGAAACTGCGTCTTTGCCAGTGATTTTGCTGGTCACTTGTCCTAGTCTCACAACTAGTAATGTAAATGCCTGATCGAGATTTGAACTCTGGTCGTCCTGACTCCAAATCCAACATTATCTGCTGTGCCAATCTAGCTACAGTAATAATTGGCCTCCTTGACTCGTGCTTCGCCTTGTCTCTAATTCATCCTCCAGATATTTGCCAAAAGGACATTCCAAAAGCGCAGATCTTACCATGTCACTCCACTGCTCAAAAAGTTTCTAAAATTAAATGCAAATAATTTTTCTTGTCATCCAAATCCCTTCACGATCCACCTTTAGCTTGCCTTTCCAGACTTATTGCATATTAGTCTACATCACATACATTCCAGCCAAACTGGGCTCCTTGCTGTTTGTGGTACAAGACCTGCAGTCTCCCATCTACACAGCCCTGGCCTCCATGCCTGAATGCTTCCATTAAGGCTCAGCTCAAGCACCATCTCATAAGGATAGACACAAAATCTATCCTTATCTCCCCTAGTTTTTGGTGCCTTCCCACTGGAAATAAATTTGTATTTATTTTGTATATACTTATCTCTGTACATGCTGTTCCCCTCCCCATACTAAATGGAATAACCTTAAAATCAGGGTCTGTTTGCTTTTGTCTCTGTACCCCCAGGAGGTTTGGGACATAATAGGCACTTAACATATGTTTGTTGACCGAATCAACAAGTGATAAGAATCCCCACATCACAGCTTGGAGCTCAGTATTTCATTTCAGTTCAATTCAATTTATTAAGTACCTGCTATTGTGTAAGTCACTGTTCTGAGTACTAGAAATAGGAAATTTTTATACATGGTGAATTAGTCTGCTTTTTCCATCTGGGGAAAACAATTTTTTTTTTCAAAGTTCTATTCCTTCTCTTATTGTTCAACTCCAGGGTACACTTATTTTTTACCTCTTTGCCTTTAGGAATCTTACATCTAATTAGCTCGAATCTACCTTCTGAATTTGTAAATTAAATGTCTTCAGTGGGTATAGTCACACCAGAACCTCTGAAGCTCTACACATCCAGACACCAACAAAATAAACCACATCATGCTTTCAAAAAAATGAGCCAGAGAGTTAACTTACATTCTCACAATGCCTGCAAATCATTACAGCCATATTGATTATGGCTATTTGTATGATGGTGTTAACTGGTAACAGAAAACCACATGGATGTTTTTTTGCGGGGGGAAGGGCTAGGGCATGATTCATTTTATTAGCTTTCTGTAGAGACAGCCTATGTCCAATGATACGACATCAATATTTATTTTTTAATGTAGCTCACAAACTTTGTAGCTTGTATTCTAGCAAATACACAAGTATAAAATTAAATTAACATTAATATTCAAATTAACATCTCATACTACAAAAGTCAGGTCTTGCTTAGAATAGAATATTAAAGTCATTTTATACATTTCTCTTCCCTGGGCCTTTGAAAATTAGGAAATATGCACTGCAAATTATTTAAGTTTTAATTTAATGCACATCCTCAGACCAGAAGTTGCTGTGGGGTCTATAGATTCAAATGTCATATGCTAAAATTAATTACAACTAAATAACAAGAAGCTTTATTCAGTCCTCAGTGGATTTGGTGGGGTTCCTATTAGGGGAGATTTTTGTTTATTTTTGTTGAGTTTTACATTGAGAGTAAAGTGGTTAAGATAACATTCCATGAGTTCAGAAGATGCATTAGAAGGCCGGTGGATTTGGACTGTTTTATAGACTTCTTTTTTCTTCTTCTTTTCTGTCTTCCTGTGTAACTGTTAGTTGGTAAGTACAACATAATTGGATTTATAAAACAGTTCTTTGACTGTGAAACCATTCATCACCCTAACCATGCTCTCAATTATCTTATTTAACCAAAATCTGATTACTCTCTTCTCTGTTCTTCAGTTAACACCTGTCAAACCCTGCAATGTATCTCATATCTATTATATCTATCTTCTCTCCTGTTTCCTCACTTCTCTCTACTCTTTCATCATTTCTTCATTAACAACAAAGAAAGAAATGCAGTGATAGTTCTGTTCCTCCCCAAACCTCCACTAGAAAACATTGGCCATCTCAAGGTAAAAAAGCCAAAGGAAGCCCTCTCATTCTTGCTGGGAATGGTGTGTTCTATCAGACAAGCATGGGCTCCCATTTACTCTCTGTCTGCCTTCTGTCTGCAATGCTTTTCTGAAGGGGGCCAGTGGTTCATGGGCTCTAATGATTCACCCAGGTTAGATAGTAAGGGGGGAATGACACATTTCCTTGTATTTTAGGGGGTGTAGGTCATTATAATCCTAGTTATGAAAGAATGAATGTTGAAGCACCCCTACTGAAAAGGGGAGAAGTAGACCTGGATTTTGCTTGACCAAGAACTTTTCTTAAAGGAATGTATTTTTGTTCTTCAGTACATTTATGATACTTAAGTTTACTAGCATCTCACTAGGATCCACACCCCTATGAAAATTTTTACTTTGCCTTTTTACCATTTATAATTTCAGCTTTGCAAATGAATAAAGGCAAAAGTAAATTGAGAAATTGATTATAGTTAGAAAGTTTTAAGGTTGCAAAAGTCTGAGACTGCCATTTATTATACCTGATTAGGAATATGTGTTCTTTACCCAGTTTACTAGTTGGAAAGGATTTATACCATTTGATATTTTAATAAATATCAGTAGTCAGAGATTTCCATACTAGGCAGTGTGGCATAATAGAATGCTATATTTGAAGTCAGAGAACCTGATTCAAGTACTGGCTCTGCTGTTTACATGCATGAGCTTAACCTTTCTGGGCCTCAGTTTCCTCATCTGTAAAATGAGGGGGTTGAACTAAATGATTTCTAAGGGCCTTACAGCTCCAGATCTATGATCTTGTGATTGATTATACATGAGCACTATTACCTTTAAGAATGATAATGGAGAGTCTAAATAAATGCCTGGGGAACTATAGGATACAATAACACTAGACTGTTACTGCATCATACTTGCAACTTTTTCTTTGTTGTCTGCAAGTTTTTTGGTGGATTTTTATTTTTTGCTTTGTTCAGAAGTGAACTATGCTCTATGGAACATTTAAATGGGAAGAACTAACTTTCTTAATAAGAAGGGATTTAGTCTCAATGGCTAAATTGTTTTCACTTGTTTCCCTCTTTTTCTTTTTTACTTTTTTCTTTTTTTTTTTTTTTAATTTTCAGATCTGTTTCCTCTGGTTACCTTTTTTTCTGTGGAAGAACTAGAAATCTCAAAAGAAACTTGCTGATCTATCTTAAATTATGGCATTTTTTGAAACAGTTTCCATTTAGACAAATTTTGATTTTAGAATCGTTGTTATGCAAGAATTTGCTTTGGTTCTTCCCATAAAGGAAATTACTTAATACCTTTGATGACTTTAGTTTGACCTAGCTTTTTAGGACTATTTCAGAGTATTAAATTTAAGCTGTGAATGCCTACACTCTGAAGCTTACTGTAAAGGAACTAGTCCTACTCACCTGCGTCTTGAACCCTGCATGCTGATGATGTCTCTAGATTCCTCCCCTTCTTGGTTGCAAGGAAATTGCTTCCCTTTGCTGCTACTCAGGATACTCAGGATACTCTGGTTGGTTCTCCCCATGATTTGATGTTTGTTTGTTTTTTTTTCCTGCTGACATGGTGGCTTTCAGTGAGTTTACAATACTTAGTAGGACTTTCTAATGAATAAGTGTTGTCTTTTTTATGGGGTACATTGCTGGGACATTGGTACTAACAGGTTTGTCTCCCCCAGGCTCCTGCCAGGAGACTCTACCCAGTGAAACTTCAACAGCATCGCAGATGGATGGGACCGACTTAGCTTCTCCAATGTCTCCACGAACCAGCAAGAGCAGAATGTCTATGAAGCTTCGCCGCTCCTCTGGCTCTGCCAATAAATCCTAAGGAGACAAGCAGTTCTGCAGCTTTTTTGAACAACAAACATTAGTCTTGAGCAGTTGAATTAGCATTGATAATATTTTCCCCCAGAATTTAGCTAGATATATGTCTACCATCACACACATGCTCCTTCATGTATACTTATTTTAGAAAACACCAATATTTTATTTGTAACTCAATATTTTAGCTTCGAAATTACTGTGGAATTTTTAGTTACACCCTAAGCTTCCTCTTTTTTGGTGCAGTTTATATACTGTACCCTTTAATTTTCTTGATAATTATGTCTAAATTGTCACTTTTAACTTCATGGTTAACAATGAACCAAAATATAATTGGAGAAAATTCTTTATTGTACCCCCATTGTAACTTTGTTAGCAAGCTAAATATGTACAATTTTTTTAAATGTACAATTTTAAATTTAAGCATTTGTAAAGTCCAAACAAAAGACACAAATTTGTTCATGCACAGGATGTGTGTAGATTATTTATGTTATGAAAATAAAGTAATCAAAATAAATGGTCTTTTAGTATTTCACTTTCCACATGAAAATTTTTTTATTAGGTTTTCTTTCCCAAAACAGTGTCTCATTTCCTAGCCATGTGGGTAATACCATGACAAATCAAAAAATGAGAATAATCACTGTGCTGCACTCTGACTTATGCTTGCCTTCCAATTATTTTTTATAACATTTCCCTTTTAAAATGGTATCACTGTTCAATGCCATTCTGTTTTGAAATTGTGGCCCTGATAATCTGGCCACAGGATCTTGGTGGATCAATAATTTTTTTCTTATATATGGAAAAAGAAGTATTTTTCCAATGTAACTTCCTTGCTCAAAATTATGTGTACTATTAAAGAAGATAAAGGAATATTATCCAGGAGTCATACTTTAATCTATTGTTAATATTGAGCTTAGAGGTGTGGATCAGTACACGATCCGTTCCTCCAGAAGTATTTTCCTACAACAGATGAGCTGCTCGTATTTTGTGTTGAGTAGCATCTCCTAAGGAAATGTAGCATGGCATTGGTTCTAACTGCATGTGTAAATACATCATACAGGCAACCACAGAAATATAAATTATGTATGGTCATTCATGTAGTATCTACAGATTTGTAATTGTTGAAAAGATGACATAATATTTAATAATACAATAAAAAATTATTCTTACCAATTCCTGTTCTTGAGTGTTGATTGAGCAGTGTTTTATCAGTGTTTTATCCATTTTAGGTATCAAATAGAGTTTATCTTATTTCTGTGATCAGTATACACCAAAGCATGAATTTAATTTATCTTCTCACTTAAAAATGGATCTGAATTCTCTTTCCGGGGGTGTACTTTGAACCCAGTTTACAGTAAGTCTCCCTAATCTAAAATTGCCCCCAGTGTCTTTTCTCCCTACACAGTTTGAGTTGTGCCGATAATTGTCTTCAGTTGCCTGACACTTTAATTTTTCAAAGAAGCTTTTGTTAATGCTGCTCCTTTCATATGATAAACCAAAACTTTATAGAAAAAGGGATTAGATTGGGGTTTTTTTGGTTAAGTGTCAAAAACATATATATATATATATATACATATATATTATATTACTGGTAAGCAGAAATAAAAATTAAAAACACAAGAAAGCTCCTGTTTAGCTGTGGAAAGTAGCTTTATTAGATGAAGTGCATAAGATGATATGGAGTTCAAAAATTTAAGGAACAAGCTGAAATAATCCAGAAGACTATCCTAAGGTGAAGAGTTATGGAAAGAAGTCACTCATTTCCAATATGCTCTCAAAAAAATTTTTTTAACACCAGGAAGCTAGGAGAGTATAGGATAAGAAATAATGAAATAACTGCTTTGGAACAAAGCAAACCATAAGCCTCCAGTTTGAAAAAAAAATCAAATTAAGACCAAATTTGAACCTATAGCATTAACTTAAAAAAAAAGAAAGGTGGAAGGTCAGTTTTCCAAGGGAAAATTAACTTTCTAGAGATTAAGCCATTATTTAATTGGGAAGTGTTTACAGAGTATACACTATCCGTTTTCTCCCGGAATTTAGATTATTTAAAAGGAGAATTATGGCAGTCCCTTTTTAAAATTATTTCATCCTTCTCTCTTGCCCACTGTGTCTTTCAATGGGTTCTAAATGCTACGTGTAAAGATAAGGACAATCAAACAACACACAAGATACAAGCTAAGCACATTTATTTGGTGAGCACCATACACCTCTGGCTAATAGAAGCAAGGACAAGGATGTATAGAATGTACATTGATCATGGTTTACAAAAAGCAATTCAAAAGCCACGGAGTTATGAAAAAAAAAAGATCTTAAATGAATTGCCTTTCATTTTGAAGGTGGATTACATCTTATTGTAGATTCATATTTAGTACAAGAAATGAAATTACCAACAAAAATGTTACACAAATTGAAATGTTACTAAAGGGGTCAAAATTTTAATTTCAGGAAACAGTGTTGGGTTTTTTTTTTTTTTAGTTATTTTTAAATAACTTGAGCAAGTTTACCTTACACAAAAGTGAAGGGGGGCGGGGGAGAGTACCTCAAGTTAAAACAATCTTTGTTGCAGTCAGCACTTTCCCCACTTAATTTGGGGTGGATCAGTTTGATGGACCTAAGAGGAAGGGGATGTTTACAGGGAACTCTAGACCTGAAACAAAAGCCCTCTGAATTTCACTTAAGCTCATTTTTGCCCACAGCCACATCTTGCTTGAAACCTTGGTTCTGTATTGTTTTCTGCAAATTTGGCACCAATCACGTCTATTTTTCTGTTCACAGAATGTACAATGAAAAATTATCCGAGCCCAATTAGAGAGAAATTATATGGGTGCCTGCCATGACAATGGAAGCAATATCAGTAATAACCACGTTGAGTGGCTTTGAAAAAGAAGGAAAGAAAAAAGTCCTTTCTAGACACAGATAAGTCTTCATCGAGCCTTTCCATGGGAATTAACAAGTCACACAGAATTGTTTAGGGCCTCCAGTGGTTGAATTCCAGGAAGCTTTTAGGGAAGAAAAGGAGGTAAGGAAAGAGGAGGCGGGGGAGGGGGCACTTTTACCAGTTGGTCCCGCAGCCGCTCACAAAGTCCATTTCTTACTTCTTGTCCCTGTCCCAATCTTGCTTCTCTACGTCCTCAGCAACCGGGTCTTAGTGGCATCTGGAGCAGCAACACCTGCCGGCTTTCCGAAGGGTGACATTTGTTGATATGTCGGGTTAGACCCAAGGAACTGAAAAAGGTGGACGGACAGTGCTTGCATGGAAAGATCTGTTGAGTGTCTTCGTCAGCTCCTCTTCCTCCATTTGTTCCCTCTGGAGGCGCCCCCGCTAAAGCGGGCAATAGCATTTCTTCCCGTACTGCGTGCCACAACCGGTGCTTGTCTCTGATGTCTGCCGAGGGGAAGTGCGCTCCGCAAAGTGGGCATGGGAAAGCAATCTGCAAGCTCTGCTCAGTACTGTAGCCAGGGGTCAGCGCTCGGGCTGAACCCGCCTGATGAGTACTCAAGTGCTTGCGCAAGTAAGCTTGACGGCGGAACTTCTTGTGGCAATATGGACACAAGAAAACCTCAGATACCCCTTCTCCGGGGCCCTTTCCTGCATTTGGGACGCGACGCCCCGACTCCCTTTCAGTATATGGGCCCTGTGGTAGCTGGGGCTCAGGGTGCTGAGTGACCTTGAAGTCTTGGCGGTGGCTAGCTGTAGAGTTGGAACTGTCTTCATGCTGATCAGTCCGGGAGCTGTCCCGAATAAGAGGGTGCTGACCTTCAGTCCTTTTCTCTCTGCTGTTCTCCTTACCCTCGGGCAGGAAAGATGCGATGGTGCTGCAATCAGGAGACAATGAGGAGGAAGAGGAAAACGAGGGGAGAGCCTTCCCCTCCCCGGGGACAGTGGTGGCAGCGTTGGCAGGACGTGGCTTGTGCCACCGGCGGTGGGAGGCGAGATTGGCAGGGCAGCTGAAGACCTTGTCGCATTCGGGACAGCGGTACTCAACTCTCACTATACGGGAGCATCGATGCTGGGCCAGTGCAAAAGGGTCTGCGTACTCTTCCTTGCACAGCTGGCAAATGTATTCACCCAGTGGCGTTCGGCTGCCTTCAAGGCCTCGGGATGGGGTCCCAGGCACCTCCTCCTTGATTTTCAACCCCAGGACTGGGGATGTGGTTACTTCATCCGCGAAACTCAACCTCCTCATAGCCTTCGGCTTCTTGGCACCTGGCACTGCTGTCCCAGACACCGACATTGACACCGGTCCAGGAGCTCCTTTGTCACGACGGTCGCTCCCAGTACCCCGCTTCAGTCCCTGAAGAGTGACAGTGAGGGGAGCTGAGTCCGGCTTTGGAGCAGCTTCTGGGAAAGGTGCTAGAAGTGGCATCAAAAGCTGCTCCACCGAAGAGGGGGCAGACAAGGGTGCCACTGTGGAAGAGAAAGCAACTGCGGCTGTGGTGCCTCCCGGGAAGGACTCAGCCGAAGCAGGAGAACTCAGGCAGCGCTCCAGGAATGTCCCTCGCAACTCCGCACCCGCCGGCTTAGCTGGGCTGGGACTGGGACCGGGTGTCGAGCCTCCGCCCAACCCCCACTCAGCGCTTTCTCGTCGGCCTGGTCTGCTACTTCCTCTGGTCCCTAGGCAGGACGAAGTGCGCACGGGAGCTGACAGTTGCGAAGCCGCCTCCCTCTCCTCCTTTTCTACCTTTTCCAATGAGAATTCCAAACGCTCCGTACCCTTCACGCTTCCTTGGGGGCTAGCGGAAGCTGCTCTAGGGAAAAGAGGCGCCTCTTGGGGCCCCAGCAACTCAAAGTCCCTTTCCACCCGACGCACACGGTAAGAACCTCCCAGCCTCTTGGTTCGTTTCACCAGAAAGCCCCTCGGCATGATGGGGTTGGGAGAATGTGAAAATTAAACTGAGAGGGAAGAGGAAAAGTGAGGGGTGGAGGCTGCAGGACCCGAGACTGGAGCAGGACGTTGCTACAGCCGTCATGTTCCGGCCTTTATAGCTGAGACGCCAGTTGGGCAGAGGGGGCAGTCAACCTCGCTCTGGGATGGGTAGGTGCTACCCAATCAGGAGTAGAAACCTGTGCCGGAAAAGGGGTGGGGGTGGTGCAGGGTCTCAGCAAGCAGCTGCCCAGGCTGGCTACCGTGGTGGTTGGTAAGCAGCCGGGGGGAGGAGGAGAGGTTGACTGCTTCGCCACGCCTTCCCCGAGTTCAACCAGCATTATCTCCCTCATCCAGCAAAATTATCTACTTGCCAGTCCACGGTTAGAATGATAGCTATCTAGGACGGCCTGTCACACTAATTCAGAGTGGACGTAAAGACGCGGGAAACCCGCGGGAAGATAAGCCTATCAATGTGTGTGGGAGGCACGACGCCCTCAACCTTCCCCACCTTCTTAGCCCGCCCACGATTACATCGTCGGGATTCTGCGCCTCCTTCCTTCTCGCAAACAAAGAGGAAGTCTGCGTTAGCCACTGGCAGCTGGAGCCCCCATACCCTACCGCAACCTGGCCCCGACAGAAAAAAAGAAGAATTTCTAGAGATGAGAAAGCGACGCGAATTCCCCCTCCTCTTCCAGCACCTCTGGCCTCTGAGAAAGAATTGGGGTGTGGGGCTGAGACAGAAGAAGCTTCAGAGAAGAAACAGACTTGTGGCCATGGGCAGCATTTGGGTTCCTTATTGTGACTAGGCGTAGTCAGCCCGGAAGGTTGTTTGGGCGGGTAACAAGGCATTTGGTGGTCTCTATTAGCGAAAGAATGAGGGAAGAGTAAAGGAAAGGAGATTGCTGGGTATCTGTGAGAAGCTTAGTTAGAAGAAAGGGTGTGTAAATTAGTGACAGGTGAAATATCTCTCTACTTGCACTGAATTAACCTACTGATCTGTTGCTAAATTTGCTGTTGAAGCACGTCTTACATCTATCATTGATTGAGACTGCCAGTCTCTGACAGCATGAGAATTTATTTGTGATTAAGGGAGCTGAGTGTGGAGATTGTGCTTCTTAGCAAATTTTTAAGGCTCAAGAAACTAGATATTTCAATGTCCTATTAGTTAAGGACTACAATAAGTCTCTTATGTATATTGTGAGGAGCAAAGGGGAGTACTGAGTAACTTTCTTCCTTTCTCAGATAAGGTAATTTCCCTGTTCATACTTTACTCTTGTTCCACACAAAGATATGTCTTAGCAC